GCAAGTGGCACGCTTACCACGCGAGCGGTCCGGGATCAAATCCTGGGTCGTGAGTCGCCCGGGCCAACCAAGCCTTCCATCCCTCCGGGGTCGGTTAATTGGTACCAGACTTGTCTGGGAGGATAAAAACACTGACTTGTACATCGGCTGGCCCCCGCAAGTCATTGTATAGGCCACATCGCATTCAAACGCCACTACGAATGTACAAATGGAAGTAGAATGCGTGCCGCATCCCAAAAAGGGATTGATCAACGGCAAATGCTTTATCCTTTTTCCCTTTTATTGGAGAACAGAATGAAGTGCCCGCTCCCCGAACTGGGTCTCACCAGAAGGTTAAAAGTAGCGAATATTTTTAGAAGATCCCGTTTTTGCATGCGGCCGTACTTCCCTAGTCTGTAATCCATCAACAACGATTTCAATTTTGCAACTTCTACATTTCAAAAAAGAAAGAACGAAGAAGGAGGACAACGTAGAGTCGAACCTCTGGATTCTTAACTTTACTATACTTCAACAAAAGCATCTTTGTACAGACATGCATTATGGACGGAATTCTAGTGAACTTCCTATCAGTCGTTGAGCTTGGTCTTGATCTTTTTCAAGATATTCATGAGCATGTCGACGGTGCTTGGCTCTGCGTTACGTTGCGTGGCGACAGCCTAAAGGAAGAAAATTGATGAAAATGGTACACCCCTCGAGCGAGACGAAATTTCATTGTGGCCTCACCTTGTGACTTCGGAATTTCGCCTTCAGACAGCAAATGTTCTGAGCACATGGGTCGTACTGAGGTAGACAAACGCAAGACGAGACCGGCACACCCACGTACATCACACAATTGGTAGTGAGTGGATACTGTGCAGCTGAAGCAAACACTTAAAGCACTTCAGAATTGAAATACATAGCTGTTGTGCATAGCCAGCTGATACGCAAGTACTTACCCTGTTGATATGGCACTGCGTCTGCAATCATTGGCGGAGCCTCTGTAGCGAGCGTCTCAGGTGGATACGTAACTGGAGGGTAAGTCTGAAAATTAAAATTGCAGGAGACGTTCCAGAAATAAGAGTGAAATTGCTGCTCTACCGATACTATAGGTACAAACCTCGGTGATCTCAGGAGGGGAAGTGACAACGGGAGCATCGTTGACCAAAGATGGGTAGTTCTGAACATGAAACAATAAGATGGATCAAGTCATTACATCTTCTGTCACTGGAGCTCATTCGAACAGGGCTCTGAATAACTTACGTGAAATCTATGTATAAAAATGAACACAGCCTGGCAATGAGTGGACGAATGATGTTTTGTAAGAGGCACTACATAACACGCTTACGTCTTAGATTTTGTGGGCTGGTAGGCACCAAACTTGATTTAAAGGTTAAAGGACAAAGCTTTGGAATTGGAATTGGAATGATTGCATAAAAATACCGACTTGTACATCGACCGGCCCCGGAAACTTATCGTAAGCCCGAATGGCATTCAAATGCCCCAATTCTGGATGGAGTTTGCAGAATGTGGGCCCGCGCTCCAGTTCGGTTTCATGCGTACCTAATGCTTCCTTTTACTCCTTGTAAGCCAGAAACGCACCCATCCTTGAGCCAGACTAGCAATTTTTGGAGAAATACTGTAATCGGGTTTAAATTCCAAGCTCTTTTTTTGTTATGAAGGTAACTACAATTGTAGTGTTCGCTTTGTATGTCGTGAAATCAAAACAGCACACACTCACTTGATTACCATTACAGTTACACTGATATTGTGCTGAGGTTGGTCCCGAAATTTGGATCATAATGCACTGGCACTGTCCCTGGCCGTCGGTCGGTGCCTAAAACGAATGACCATGAATAACGATTGCTCCTGAGAAAAAAGTTGTATTTTACAGTACCGTCGGGTATTGTGGGGGAGGAGTGGTAGGTGGAAGAGTTGTGGGTGCCATAGTGGTTGTTGTAGTCGTCTGAAATTTTTTAGTTATCAGGAGAGATTCAAGAAGTGTTCTGCCAGATAGTACTCACTGGAGCTTCTCCGCATTGGCATTGATACTGTGCTGTGCCGAGGTAGACAATTTGCACGCATCCGCACCTGTAACAAACATGCCACTCCTTCACATTTTGAACTGTGAACCCTCTTGAGACCTCAGAAAAAAGTAGTAGACCATTAGGCCGAATATTAAATGTTTCTAGAAAGGCTCGCTGTAATGGAAGCTGAAGGAGCGTCTTGGTAGGAAAGAAGATGATTCGTTCGCAATTTGGAGTTTCTTTCCTAGGTGACTCCGAGCTCATTTGAAGACGTGGCTCCTGCGCTATCGCGGAAATAATAAAATAAGCGTAAAATATAACAATCAGGTTTCCGATCTTTCACCGAATTTTACTCTACTCTACCATGAATTGTTCCCTGAAAGCATCAAGCGCATTACTATCGCCTTTTTAGCAAGCACTCTTCAGGTAGTGGAGCAGGGTTTTACGAAAAAAATCCGCACAACTGGCTCAATTTTCCACTGCCTGGGAGAGGTTCCTGTCATGAATGGCTAGTTGTAAGGCGTTCGAGTGAGTTTGTGTTCGTCATTCCAATATTGAATTGTGTAATGCACCAGCGAGACATTTTCACATGGAAGCACTTGGTGAGTTGTCTCTCAAAATTTGCTACATGGTCAACGAAGGCAATCGCCTTGTTATTCACGAAGCAGGAGTATCCATCTGGCTCAGAGCTCCCTAACACTAGTCTTGAAGTTTATGACTCTACTACGACTGCCCTGTGTGATAGAAGTTTGGTATAGAATACTCGTGCTACAGGTCTAAACGGATAGCAAGATGCTGACAAGTCCGTTGCTCATGCGCGGATCGAATCTGGATGTTCACATCCTTTCGAGCCTACCATCCTCGAGCTCTATTAATTGGTATCAGCCTCCTGGAGGATAATCATGCTACATTTCTTTTATTTTGTTAACATTATTCGTTTGTAGAACTGTCATTTTCTTGATTGAAGTATGCATAGAACGATGAAAATGATGGCGGTACAGGAGAACACAAACAAATTTTACCCGAAGAACTCAGGGAGCTCGTCACTCCGAACAGAATTTCTTTGATACAGTTGTCACCGCGTTAGCAGCACATTGCAGAACTATAATCAGAAATATGCTTCACTGCCACAGAAGACCCTTGCTCATACGGAAACGGGTACCTATACGATTAAGAATCTATCGCTAGCCACGAAAGGAGCATCGCAAAGTAATAGTGAGCTGGTACACCTCTAGCTCACTATTACGTTTTCCTCTTTGGTTCCGACAAACTTTTATTATGTATCCCTAGGAAAGCTTCATGAAAAGTAAAACTCAAAGGACCTAATTGGATGGATCACATTTGGAGAGTATCAAATGTGTCACATTTTTGAAAGACGCTCTGAAATGGCAATCCCTGCACGTGAGCAATCGAGCAGCCTCATTAAATGATTTGAAACTACAAAAAAGAGCCTAAAAGTCATAAAAAGCCACCAACCGAGCTTGGTTTTGCCCTCGTGATGGATGTGCCTGAACGCTATCAGAAAGAGCTTGAGCCACTTCAGTTTGTTGCAGTGCTTCCGTTGGCGCTTGAGCCTAAATGAGCATAGTATTCCTTCCTGTCCCATTCTTTTCTGTTTACGTTCGTCCTGAATGTATCAGTTTAGGTATGTTTTTGGGTTGAGCACCCACCGACATCGGCTGAGCGCAGCTGCACGTCATTCCTCCAGTACTTCGTGGATTGCGAATACACTTACACTCTTGTCGCTTCACCCGAAGTGTGATAGGCTTCTCGCGGATAGCCTGAAGGCACATATTTCATTCAGCGACAGAATTTTCAGGGGTTGAGAAGTAAAGAAGCATTTATTAGCATTGTATTGAATACAGTGGTTAACAGTGAAATGAAATCATGTCTCAGTGAAGACACAAAAGTTTCACGCCACAGGGGCTTTTGACAGACAAATGTTTTTTTTATAATGTGCGGAGTAAGCTTTCGGTATTGAGTTTAGCATCTGTTGGGTAATTCCAGCAAGGAGGAAACAGTGGTATTTGGCTTGAGAATAATTTGGGTTGCCGCTTCAGTAGTATTCAGGGTACGCCATAAATATAGTAAGACATTAATTCCGACGCAGAAACTGTTGCTCAAAACACACTGAAGCTCCACACCGGTGAAATGGAGTTCTGTTGGGGGTGAGGAGTGGGTACTCCATTATGTTCTCTAAAAAGAAACGATCGCGTGCTTGGGGGCTGAAAGTTCCCCGGCCTATGTAAAATACGCGTTATCGTTCCAAAAAAAATAAAGTGGGCGTGGTAAGGCTACCAAAACCCCGAATTCCCGTGTAGCAGCGGCCGCAAGCTTCAGCTATCTTTACTGTCTTTTGGTATCGTAATAGTGGCGGATAAGGCACCGGAAAGCAGTTCCGGCAATATCGCACAGTATGTACCTTCAGGCCGAAGCCAACGTGATTCCTTTCATGGTTCCTTAAAAGGAAGCGATCGCGTTGGCTTCGGGCTGAAGGTACATACTATGGCAAGATAGAAAGATACGGCTGCTTGGTATGATCACGTTGGCTTTCACGTGGATCGCAGAACTCCGCGTTATCTACCGATAAGGTAGGAAATAGATAGTGATTGGACGAGCGTAACCCTATGGAAGTACGATATGATTAGATAAGAAGATACGGCTGCTTGAATGAGGTGCACTCCAGCATGAAAATCGAACGATAACGATAACCGTATCATATCTAGCACGCTGCTGTTGCATCCCCTTCCACGTCTGATAAGGAGGTGCAACGCCGAACCGGAAGTGGGTTTCGGCGCCTTATCACGCCGTTGATAAGGCGCCACTGCCCTGAAGCGTCACCTGTCGTCCCATTGGGTAGGACCCCTACCCAATCCACTATGTCACTTTCCCTATCGTCTCCATAGGGATTTCCGTGACCCTTTCCTCCAAGATTTTCTGATTAGTACATCGCGTTGGCTGAAGGTGCATACTACGCGTTATCAACCGAAAAAAAGCTGGAGATAAACTAATCGTAAGCTGGAACGAGACGGTGTTATATGGAAACCCTTCCGAGGTGCTTTCAAATCTCGGCCTGCTAGTGGCCCAAGCAAGTGGTTCCAAACCTGGGAAAACGACAACCCTGTCTAGCCGTAGAAGTGGAGGAGCCCTAGGGTGAATGGACAGTTGCCAAAAATCGCCCAAGAGGTGAGCAGGATTTGTGGGATGTCGGACGCACACCGGTTTATTGGGAAGCGATAAAATTGAACCACATCGTTGTACAGAAACTGCAAGGGATACTAATGAAATTTCTTAAAGTGAGCACTGTTGGAAAACAGGCAGTAATTGTTATACTCTACTAAAGAAGGCTGGAGAAATATGACAGATAAGCAAACCAAATACTAAAGCAGTAATAGCGCCTTCCGCTGCATTTCTGAATAGGAAGAAGATTGATCACAAAAATTAGTAAATTATTATCGATAACACCTACGGTTTCCACGCCTACGTACATAACAACAAAAACCAAGCTTCAACTGAAGAAATATTAGTTACAATTCCAGTAAGCGAAAATTGTCGGCACGAGCGAAGCCGGTTGCGGTGTGTACACGATAGAACGAAATGGAGACATTGTTTCGGGGTCTCCTTTTAAATAGCCGCCGGCGAAGACGAGCAAATTTCTGGGCCGGGCCACGCCACCTGATCGCATAGGAACTAGCCTGATCAAAGGAATGAAGCTCGGAACACTTGGTCCGAAAGAAAAGACCATTTCTTGATAGAACTCTGAACAACTCACGGACAAAGCACGCCAGTGTTCTCAAGCTTCCCATAGTTCGTTTCATGTCGACGTTTGACGTGCCGTAAGAGTCGTGATAATAATAAAGGATTATATAACAAAAACGCTTGACATTTTTCCCCTGCAATATACACACTCGCCAAACCTACAGGTTGAAGGACACAAATAGTAATGTTCCGTGTTAAGCGTGCATAACAAAAAGAGTAAGCAGCAAGGATCCATTTTTGGACAGGTAGATTTGATAAATTAATCAAGATTACGAACGTTTCCAGGTCAGGGCCAAGATAGGTGCAAGGGGAGACAGGGGCTGAAGTAAAAGCAACGGTGTGGAGAAGGAACACTCACCCTGAATTTTATAAATTCCATAAATTAGCACGAAGTCAAAGTGGAGCTTCGCTGATCGCTTACAAACTCCTTTACCGTGGAAAAGTGATCCTTTTTTGAGAGCTGTTTATTCAATATCTCCTATCAATATTTGCTCATTATTGAATTCTATGATTCCATTCGTGAATCATGTGTATGCAGTAGGTACATGGTGATAATCACCACTCTTTGAGCTTATTCACGTATCCGTGATCACTGATAACGTTATGATTTCATAACACGGATCACATTTTTTTTTAAAAAAACTTTTTTTCCAAAAAACCAAAGCCCCCGCTAGTCGACTGTGAGTCGATTGTGTTCACTACAGAGGTGAGACGGTGGCGAGTAAGCAGTCTTTGAAAAGTAGCGCTAATTGCTCTGCTGGTCTTCGCGGGCTAGACTAGAAACTGCTGCATTTCTAAGAACTGATTTAGATAATTGCTGTTGCTTTTAGTTTTGACATCTGAAGGAATTCCTTCGAGAATGCCCACTTAGGGTTGTTTCAAAAGTCTCAAGGAAGTGGAGGTGTCTGACGTCTTTTTTTCATTTCACTTTCATTTTCTCGTTCATTACTATAGCTAATTTTTACTTTTCCTTCATTCCATTGTTCGTGAACCGTTAAAGTACTGAGCTGCATAGAGTTGCTATACTGTTTTGACCTCGTGGCTCTCACTGAATCCAATGCCATCCTATACATTCCTTCCTCTGACGAGACTGTCCCAAGTCCCAAAAAGGAATTCCATTTTGCAGTGGTTAATACTACTATTAGGGTAACCAGTTCTAGTGAAGAGAGCCCTTCTCTACGACAATCTCTACGCTACTTACTATGCTACTTTTTAACAATTTCACACAGCTATGTTTGAATTCGTCAGGCTCACTCTGCTGCCTTCTTCTGAAGGTACATCCACTACCATCAGGGCGGCGTTGTATGTGGCGGGATTTGCGCCCCATTCAGTGTTTTATGGTAGTTTTTGTTCTACCAATAAAACAACCTATGGCGCGCAATCCCGCATACAGTTCACCAAGTTCCTGAGCTCCGAAGAGGGTGCAGAGCCGATCGTGGACGGCCATGGTGAGACCATCGAAAGAGTGGAGGACTTCCGATACCTTGGGAGCGATCTGGCAGCCGACGGAAGTGTGGATCAGGCAGTGAAGGCACGAATCAACGCGGCCTGGATGAAATGGAGGGAGTCCACTGGAATCCTCTGCGATCGAAGGTGCTCCAGAGCGCTCAAAGGGAAAGGTGTACCGGACAGTGGTAAGGCCTGCGATGCTCTACGGCAGCGAGTGCTGGCCCCTGAACAAGAATCACGAAAGGCAGCTTCACTCCGCTGAGATGAGGATGCTGAGATGGGCCTGCGGCTGGACGCGGCTGGACAGGTTAGAAACGAGGACGTCAGAGCGGTCATGCAGACTGCCCCTGTCCAGCTGAAGGTACGAGAACAGCGTCTGCGATGGTATGGGCATGTGCTAAGGAGGCCACAGGACCATCCGATAAGAACAGCGATGGACTTCGAAGTACAAGGCAAGCGACCGCGAGGAGCCCGAAGAAAAGGTGGAAAGACGTAATCAAGAAGGACCTAGGTGAGGTCACGGCCACGATGGAAGATGCCCTGGACAGAGCAAAGTGGCGACGACTGACAAAACAGCGGACCCTGCGACTGCGCGGGACTAACGCTAGGGAGAAGAAGAAGAAGAGAAGGTGTTTTAGTTTCGTACTCCGCTAATACGATGATAATGTGGTAAATTGCGGCCAAGGCTGAGGCAAACCTATGAGATTAACCAGGGAGCTCTTCCAGGAAATGCCCAGCTTTCTCGAAACCAATTTTTGTATGATATAGAGGAAGGACGTGCATGGAACGAACTGCCGTTCTCAACTTCCTTCACCAATTTTTTAGTCAAAGTCTATGTATAGGTTGCTGATGGTCCTAACTATGGATATGACATAAGTTATTACCACTGACGCTATTTTTCGCAAATTTTGAAACGCCAGCACAAAAGGCCAAAAAATTGTCACTTCGAGGGTTCGAAACCACGGACCACTTCATCACTCGCGGAGCCGCCTCGCGAAATTAAGTACCACGTGTTCCACGCAGTAATATCATGCAAAAACCGTTCCGAGAAAGCTGGGCATTTTCTGAAATACCTTCTTCGTAAGGTGAGGGCTTCTATGTTAGCTTCCCGCCATCTCTCTAGATTGTCTGTACATGTTTGAATGTAGAAGACCCAATATCTGTAACATAAAGGTTTCTCTAGGGGCGAGCTCTAGGAGGTATTGGTATGTAAGAACACTCAATAATGAAGGTGGGGGGGGGGGGGAGGACGAGTAAGATGAAAGCAAGAAAGAAAGCAAAAGGAGTCAGTGAAACTCCCAAATCAAAGGCCTAAACTTTTTGTACGGTCGGATGGGGTGCGTGGAGATTTGAGCGAGTAAAGAAGACAGGAAACGCGAGGGAGCACGCCGCACGAGAAGTTCGTAAAGAAGCGGCCGTTGGCGGCCGACTCTAAAACGGCAGCCTTAAAGGAAGTGTCACGATAATTTTCATGGGAACGATAAGGAAAGCTATGTATTGGAGTGGATAGAGGTCCTGCCCAATGTTTAGAACACGTGAAGTTTCAGTGGCAGTGGCGCCTTATCAACGGAGTGATAAGGCGCCG